TCCAAAAAACAAAATAATAAATGTTGGAGAGGTTGTGGAGAGACTGGAACACTTATACACTGTTGGTGGGAATGTAAAATGGTACAACCACTTTGGAAATTCATTTGGAACTTCCTTAAAAAGCTAGATATAGAAGTACCATATGATCCAGCAATCCCGCTCCTTGGAATATATCCTAGAGAAATAAGAGCTGTCACATGAATAGATATATGCACACACATGTTCATTGCAGCACTGTTCACGATAGCAAAAAGATGCAAACAACCTAGGTGCTCATCAACAGACAAATGGATAAACAAATTATGGTATATTCACACAATGGAGTACTAGGCAACGGTAAAGAAGAACGATGAATCCATTAAACATCTTATAACATGGAGGAATCTGGAAGGCATTATGCTGAGTGAATTTAGTCACAAAAGGACAAATATTGTATAAGACCGCTATTATAAGAACTCAAGAAAAGGTTTAAACACAGAAGAAAACATTCTTTGATGGTTACGAGGGTGGGGAGGGAGGTGAAGGGAAGGACGGCACACACTACGGGGGAAGTCAGCACAACTGGACTAAACCAAAGCTAAGAAGTTTCCTGAATACAACCAAACACTTTGAGGGACAGAGTAGCAGGGGCGGGAGTCTGGGGACCATGCTTTCACGGGACATCTAGGTCAATTGGCATAACAAAGTTTATTAAGAAAATGTTCTGCATCCTACTTTGCTGAGTGGTCTTAAAAGCTAGTGAGCAGCCATTTAAGATGCATCAATTAATCCCAGCCACCTGGAGTAAAGGAGACTGAAGAACACCAAAGTCACAAGGAAAGTTATTAGCCCAAGAAACAGAAAGGGCCACATAAACCGGAGACTGCATCAGTCTGAGACCAGAAGAACTAGATGGTGCCCAGCTACCACCAATGAACGCCCTGACAGGGAACTCATTATTGCTCTGACAGGGAACACAACAGAGAGTCCCTGATGGAGCAGGAGAAAAGTGGGGTGCAGAACTCAAATTCTAGTAAAAAGACCAGACTTAACGGTCTGACTAAGACTGGAGGAACCCCAGAGAGCATGGCTCTGGACTCTCTGTTAACCCAGCCCTAAAACCATTACTCCTGAGTCCAACTTTTCAGACGAAGATTAGACTGGACTATAGGACATAAAATGATACTCGTGAAGAGTGTGCTTCTCAGCTCAAGTAGATATATGAGATTAAATGGGCAGCCCCTGTCCGGAGGTGAGATAAGAAGGCAGAGAGGGTCAGGAGCTGGTTGAATGGACACAGGAAATCAGGAGCGGAAAGGAGAAGTGTGGTGTTGCAGTATACGGAGAGCAATTAGGGTCACGTAACAATGTATGTATAAATTTTTATATGAGAGACTAACTTGAATTGTAAACTTTCACTTAAAGTACAACAATAAAATAACTAAAAAATAAATAAATAATTTTTTTAAAAAATTGTGAGGTATATTTTCCTGGTAGTGTTTTGAAAATTGTATTATTTAAAGTTTCTGTATCCAATCGGCTTTTTGTCTGCGTATCTTACCGCTTGCTAAGAAAATCATGTTAAAATCTTCCATAATGATGTAAATTTGAATTTATCTATTTCTACCTTTGTTGTGTTGATTTTTGCTTAATATATTACATATTAATATATTAATTATTAGGTGCATTCAAATTAGACTGTTTCTCTTTCTGGAAAAATGAGCTTTTTTTTTCCATTTGAAATGTTTGTCTCTAATAATGCCGTTTGCCTCTGTGTCTACTTTGATATCAGTAGCACTTCACCAGCTTCTTTTCTTAGTGTTTGCATGATACATGTAGTTCCATCTTTTTTCTTGGAAACTTTCGGTGTCCTTATGTTTAAGATGTACCTCTTGTAAGTAACGTAATTTTTTTTAAATCCAGTCTATGTAGGTCTTTGTTTTTTAATTGGAGTATTTAGCATATTTACATTTAATGTAATTACTGATGACTTTTGGGTATAAATCTACCTTTTACACTTTGTTTTCTATTTATCTCACTTTTTGGTGAGAGAATAGGGAAATGAGACAGGGGAGAGATGAAAGCCGAAAAGGATGAATTAATAATCAGGCTCCCACTGGGGATCCCCTAAAAGATGAGGCAGAACATGCCTCAGCATGGTCCCTCTGAGGGGCAGGGAGTCTGCGGTGTTTCTCTACCAGTTTCCGTCACTCACTGATCAAGGATCATCCTGGGGGCAATAACTTCCATCCTGCCCCACACACAAACCAGGTATGTTCTCAAAGCCAGAGAACACCCTCAGGCAGAGATTCACAGGAAGTCACTGCCAGGGATAACTGTCTGCAGTTGCCCTCCAGGATGGGGAAAGAGATATGGGCAGGAAACCGAAAAAATCTGCTACTAGCAGTTCTACTGTGACTGCCCAAGGGTGGTAGCCTTTGTATTTATCCCTGCTCAGGGCAACTGGTGCTTCTTGAATCTATAGTTAGTCTTGGAACATTACATGAGACATTGTATCTTCAAATATTCTTATGCTCCATTCTCTCTCACCTTTCCTGGAGCTACACCTATACATGTATTAGACTCCTAGTGGTACAGGGATTAAGAGCTCAGCTGTTAACCAAAAGGTCAGCAGTTCAAATCCACCAGCTGCTCCTTGGAAACTCTATGGGGCAGTTCTGCTCTGCCCTATAGGGTCACTATGAGTTGTAATCAGCTCGATGGGAATGGGTTTGGTTTTTTGGTTTTCTTATGTCTCTATGTATTTTTTGTATTTTCTATTCCTTTTTTCCATGCTTCAGTCTAGATATTTTCTACCCATCTTAAAGTTCATTAATCTACTCTGCTATTAAACCCACTTATTTAGTTGGTTTCAGTTATTATATTTTAAGTTGCATAATTTCCATTTGATTCCTTTGTTTTAGAGATCTCAGTTATCTGCTGGTATTATCTATTTCCATCATCCTGTTGTCTGTTTCCTGACCATATTAATCCTAGTTATCTGAAAGTCCCTGCCCAATACCTCCAATATCTAGATCTCTGGGTACTCCAATTATCTATTTCTTTCTTTTGGATTTTAGTCATTTGTTCTTTTCTCCTGGTATGCCTGAGACTTTCTTATTAAATAGAAAATATTATGTAAGAAAGGCTGTAAAGATTGTTCTAGGCTCTGGCTGGTGGTCCCACTGCAAAGAGGATTTACTCCTGTAGGTGGAGCAGGGTCAGAGTATCTTAATCCAGTCAGGGCCAGAGCGATTGAAGAATTTGTTTTGGACTGTTATGGGGTTGCTCTATTTTTGGTTTGTCTTTACGCCTAGTAAGACCTTTACTCATGTCAGGGGTCCCCATTGAAACTCTGGGGTGTTTCCCAGGGCCCTTCCTCCCTGGTAGGCCCTGGATTTCAGACTTTGTCTCCCCAGTCCTGAGACTGCTGAAAGCTCTTCTCAGCTTCTGAGCTTCTGGGCCTCAGCTCTCTGCTCGTTCTCTGCTTTTTAGTCACCAGCAAATGCCTTGAGGGATAAAGAGATGTCTAATGTCAGCGTCATGTCTCTGAGCTTCATTTCTACCCAGAATATTGGCCCTTGGCGGCTTGGTCACCTAGGTGCTTCACAATACCTTCAAACAAATGTTTGAACAACCAGCTTTTCTCGTGTTATCAGCAGGAAGCTGAGACTTATACAAGTGAATCCACATGGCCGGAAGTGGAAGCTGTCCACTAACCATGTGCATATTTTTTAAAAGTAAAATAGTGCTTCAAAATTATAAAGAAAAAGAGCAATGTCCTGCCTCATCCACTCACCTCCAAATCCTGTTTCCCATAAGCAACACTGTTGACGCTTCCCCTCTCAACTCATACCTCTGTATAGTAAGACTATACACCTATCTCTTGGTTGATCAGCTTAACACAGTACCTATTGCCTTCTAGTCTGGGAGGTGAAGATTTAACTCTCTTACACGCAGCATACACACGTTGCCTTTTCCAATTCTCCCAAGACAGTTTAAAAATATTTTTGTTAGTATGTATATATTATGACTATGTAAATATGTACAGCTGAATCCAGTAGTAAATATTATTATATTTCCTATCTTTATACAATTTTTCCTTACAATTAATAATCTTCTGTTTTTTCTTTGCTTAGTTTCACCAAGAATTAATTCATTTTGAAACTCTCACCTCATGCTTAGATCTCCTCTCAGCGTGCAAACACACCAGACACCTGTTTTTTTGTTTTCTGTGGACACACCCCTCCGGAGCCTCTGTCCTCCCACTCCACCCAGGTCCAGGTCCTGTGACCTCCTTTTTCTTGGTTTACCCCCGGGCTTCCTTCAGAGGCCACTGTGAGGGCACATCAGATGCATGTCCAGAACAGAGTGCCCCTGGCACCTCTGGTGCCCACAGATGCTCTGAGAGTAGGGCTAGGCTGGCCACACACAGCCACCCGGTTGGACTGTGTCAGGGACACAGATCATTTTCAATGTTGGTATTTTGAAGCAAGGATTTGCTTTGAAAACTAGTCACACATTCTTCTGTTTTAGAACTCAGAATGCAAGAAATGGTGTCTATGGGGATAGGCAATAAGCCATTTATGGACATCAAGCCCAGTGATGCTGCCATAAGTGATCGGGCCATCGATTACATCATGAAGGGTACAGGTACAGTGTCTGCGGGCCTCTCCTCACCTCTGCCCTGCCAGCTTGGACTCAGGCCGGGTATGTGGCCCTTGTGGGCCAACCTGGTGGTTTAACAGGTGGGTGTCAGCCAGGGCCCATGCCTAACATGGCTGCTGGAGAACCTGGCCAACTCTCCGGGTCCTTCCCGATCTCGTTCTTGAATCCAGGTTGCACTCTGCAGTGCGGCCAGACCCACTTGCTCATTCGTCCACTTCCAGAGTCGCGGTCGCGCGCGTCCGTCGCGGTGTCCTCGTTTGACCACGCCACCCCCTTCAAGAGGCCCCACTCCACCATCTCGGACAGCAGCACCTCCTCCTCCAGCAGCCAGTCCTCCTCCGTCCTGGGCTCACTGAACCTGCATGTGTACCCCAGCCCCCCGGGCCTGCTGAGCACCAGCCTCTGCCCGTGGCCCTACGACGTGAGAGCCTGCATCGAGGAAGACGAGCTGGAGCAGGAGACGGGCAGCCAGCCCTCAATGAGTGAGTGAATTCACGTGCTAAGAGGAGCCGGACAAGCGGCAGTCTGCTGGGAGACTGGTCTAGGTGGGCGGGGCCTGCTGGGGGACTGGTCTAGGTGGGCGGGCCCTGCTGGGAGACTGGTCTGGAGGGCCTGCTGGGAGACTGGTCTAGGTGGGCGGGCCCTGCTGGGAGACTGGTCTAGGCGGGCGGGGCCTGCTGGGGGACTGGTCTGGGCGGGGCCTGCTGCAAGACTGGTCTGGGCGGGGCCTGCTGCGGGACTGGTCTGGGTGTGGGCCGAGTTGGCTGGAGCAGTGCACTGGGCACGCCACAGAGTGGGCTCATTTATTTCACCTGATTTTATGTGCCTCCAGATGTTTTCAAACAAATTATAAATTTTCTTTTACTTAAAAAAAATACACCTTCCACTCCCACCCAAGATGGAGTAACAGGGACCAGATTTACACCCCCTCCCCACCCCACCCCACCGCCAAAAAGGATGGAAAAACAGATTTCAAGACACGGGACATCAGGGAAGAAGGCAGTGACCCCTGGGAGATGGGAGACCTCAATGCCATTTTCTGCCTTGAGCATTTCCGGCCCCCAGCGCAGGAAGAGGAGCCCAACGGGTGCTTGAGCTGCATCCAGGGAGGAGAGGCCTGCCCAGCGACCAGGCCGGTGCTCTGACCACGGCCCCCGCCATGTGCAGCATGTGTGTGAGGAGGATGCCAAGGCTGGGGAAACACCCGAAAAGGCTAGAGAACAGTTCCTCTCGCTAACACAGGCCAAACTGGAGAAACTCATTATTCAGGGGGCAGTGGGTAGAGCCCGAACCTGACCCACCTGCCACGCCGTAAAAGCGAGCCCCAAAAGGATCAGACTGTTTCCAAGTAACTTACGTGCATCCAGAACAAAGCTCAGGAAGATATATAGGAATACTAAAATACCCAGTACCCAACAATGTAGAATTCACAAAGCCTGACTTTCAAACAAAGGTCATCAGGCATACGAAGAAGCAGGAAAATATATGCCATAATGGGGAGAATGGCCGATCAGGCAAAAGCAACCCAGATTTGACACGGATGTTAGAATCATCAGTCTCGGACATTAAAGCTGTTATTGTAACTGTATTCCAGATGTCCAAAAAGTCAAGTAAAGACAGAAAATATAAAAAAGGCCTTATTGAGATCAAACTTACAGAGATGAAAGCCACAATATTTAAGATGAAAAATACACTGGATGAGATTAACAGAAGATTAGACCGGGCAAAAGAAAATGTTAGTGAACTTGAAGACATATCAATAAAAACTACCCAAAATTAAACACAAGAGATAAAAGAATCCAAAAAAATGAAAAGAACATCAGCTGGCTGTTGAACAACTTCAGTGGCCTGATACACGTTTAATTGGAGTTCTCAGAGCAGGGAAGCAAAAAAACATTTGAAGAAACAATGGATGAATATTTTATAAATTTGATGAACACTATAAATCCACACATACAAGAAGTTTGTTTAACCTCAAGCATAAGAAATAAGAAGAAAATTATACCAAGGAACATCCTTATCAAGTTGTTCAAGATCAGTGATTAATGGAAAATCCTAAAAGCAGCTAGAGAAAAATGACATATACATACAGAGGAACAAAGATGTGAATGAGAACAAGGAGGAGACAAACTGGTTCTGAAATGCATATGGAAGTGCTAAGGACCTAGAGTAGCCAAGGCAATTTTGAAAAAGAACAAAGTTGGAGTACCTGACTTCAAGACTTATTATAAAGTGGCAATACTTAAGACAGCGTGGGACTGACATGAAGATAGAGCAATACATCAATGGAAGAGAATAAGCCAAAAATCCAAAACCAAACTCATTGTTGTTGAGTGGATTCTGACTCAGGGTGACCCCATGTGTTACAGAGTAGAAATGCTCCTTAGGGTTTTCTTGGCTGTAATCTTTATGGAAGCACATCTCCAGGCCTTTCTTTTGTGGTGCCACTAGGTGGGTTCAAACCATCAACCTTTCAGTTAGCAGTCCAGCACAAGCTGTTTGCAACACCCAGGGACCTGTGGCCCATAGATTTCTAGGAGCTTCTACCCACCAGCAGATGGGTTTCCATGTGGGAATCTCTCAATTAAAAGGAGACACTATCCTGATTTCACAGGTGTCCAGGGGCAATGCACTGAGACCAGGGCCTTCATGCGGTGAGGGGGCCAAGTCGCCTGGTGGGCTTCTCACTCTCGCTGATGCAGGCTCCAGCAGAACCAGCCGTGGAGAACAGCATAGCGCAGGGTGCTAGCGGTAGAAAATAGACTGTCAGGAGAGACAGTGTGTGCACTGCCAAGAACTGAGCTAGTTTCGAATTTGTGAGACATCAGCCTGCTGGGTGTGGGAGGGGCGCTGGGCCACAGCCGCCTGGAGCAGGTGGCTCCAGACGGTAGGAGTAGCCAGCTACCTGGGGTGCCAGGGTGCTGCCTGCCAGCCCTCATGTGGCCCCTCCATCCGCAGCCACCGAGAGCTCCGGCTCCTCGCAGGGCACCTCGGGGGACAGTGCAAGCAGCCTGCGTAGTCCCCCTCACCCAGGGCTGTCGCGGCTTGAGGACAACAGTGCCTCCACCCCGGGTTCCAGGTCCTCCTTGCAGGGCACCTCTCCAGCTCATCCTGGCAGGACTTCTCAGTGGCGTCTCGGCAGCGGGCAGTTCATAACCTCAGTGAGTATCTCTCTGCCAAGACCCCAGGCACCTAGGCTGGTGAGACTCCATGGAACCCCAGAGGAGCCCCCAACCCCAGACCCCACGTGGGATGGCTGTGACCAAAGAGCCTCTGGGTGCAGCTTTTCCCCTCGAGTGGTCGTAAGCTGAGCCAATACACCCATAGGGGCTGGCTCCCGGCTCAGGTCATGGCCCAACTCTGGGGCAGACCAGACACCGTCCCTCCTCTCAGAGTCCCCTAGACACCGTCATGCTTCTCAGAGCCCTCCAGATACTGTCCCTCCTTCTTAGAGCCCCCCAGACACCGTTCCCCCTCTCAGAAACCCTCCAGACATTGTCCTTCTTCTCAGAGCCCCCCCCCAGACACTGTCCCTCTTCTCAGATACCCTCCAGACACTGTCCTTCTCAGAGTCCCTCCAGTCCTGGCCATGTCCTGCTTGAGTGAAGGGGCCCGAACTCCAGAGGGCCTAGCAGGCAGGTGGCCAAGGTGGTCTGTCAGCCTTGCGTGATGAGGCTGATCAAAGGGCTCGCTGCTGCAGATGTGGGGCCCAGACCAAGCACTGCGCTGGGCCCTTCCTGGGGACAGTGATCACCCAGCCACCGCCATTGTAGATCCTCAAAACCAGCAATGTCTACTGAGCACCTTCTCTACCCAGACTGTCCTAGGGCCTGAGAGAACCTGGGAGAACCCCAGGCCCCACCCTGGGGTGTGCATCCCAGTCTAGGCAGCCAGACACACCTGCAGGGACACTGCTGTATAGATACCAGGCATCGAGGTGATAGGAAAGGGCTCCTCAGACAGAAATCCGTAGTCTTCCACAGAGAACAGGCATCGAGGTGACAGGAAAGGGCTCCTCAGATGGAGATCCTCAGTCCTCCAGATAGAACAGGTGTTGAAGTGACAG